AGTGCAGTCTTTATTTAATTGGTATTTATGGTTCTTTGTAATCCTGGGAACCTTTAGAACCTAGAAATTATGAAATTACAGCTTTATGTTGAGGGTTTTTCGTTATTTGAAAACAGCATCTGAGCCAAATCGATTCAAAATGACCAGAATACAAAAGAAAACCGGTTTAGATCCTCGATGTTCTGTCACGTTACCTGCAGTCCTCCACCTTAAAACTGAACTTTTTAGCTTCTTCTTCCTGTACATATATATATGTGTGTGACTTTTTTGTTCAAACAACAAAGCAGAACATAAACAGGACTTTTCCAACATCCAGCTCTCTCCGACTTGTGACTCTAATTAATGCGAGATCAGACAAACAGCAGAGTTCTGTAGCTTCATGAGTCTATTACTCAGGGTTTTCCCTTCTTATTACGAAACTGAAGCTTTTAAGGCACACGGCGGTTCAGCTACTTCTCAGCAAACAGGAGGAAATCCTTGTGGAAGATGATTTCCATCCGGGTGATGTTGTATATTGCAATTACACATTATACCAGCAGCGTAGCCCAATCACAGACCAGGGTTTGGTGTGAATTTCTCCACACCGGTGACTGAAAATCATGTGCACCAATCGGGACATTCACTAGATTATTGCAGATTGTGATGAAGGCCCCTCCAACAGTCCATCAGTCGTGGGCTTTCTCTGCCTTGTGGCTCCACACCGGTTTGCGCTTCTCGATGAAGGCCTGGATGCCCTCCTGGCCGTCTCGCAGAGCCAGGTTGTCCACCATCACCCTGGAGGTGGTGGCGTACGCTGCGTCCCGACCCTGAGCCATTTGTCTACGGAAACAGGGGAGAAAACAACACGTGGAGGGAAAAATAAATGTGTTAATTACAAGTTTTCTAATGTTTTCACATGAGGAATCCTGATAACGACGGTAAATGTTTAGTTTTCCATAAAGTTTTGATCCAGAATGCGATATGACAGCGATATGACCTACAGTAAAGCCATCGGATATGCAACACAGGGTTGAACGGGAGTCGTAATGCCAGCCCGGTATAGCAGGCTACAGCGCTGAAAGGGTTAAAGTATGTTGCTCATGTGTGCACATCTGTTAATGTGACGCATGCAGTTCAGATTTAAGTTACTAAATCCGACTAGTAAGACTGCAGTTGTGGCCTTTACAGGAAAACGAGCAAAGAGTTCATTCAGATACAAAGCTGACGTTCAGGTGATGTCAGATTCACGGAAAGGAACAATTGTTTTTAGTGACAAACGGTGAAAAAAAAAAAGTCTCCCATCACTTGATGAGCTCTCACCTCTGGAAGGTGGCCTTTCCGAGGGCTACGACCGGTCGGCTGGCCTCACAAATTCTCTTTGCGATGGATAAAGTTTCCTCCTCCAGTCGCTCCTCCGGCACCACCTTACTGACCAGGCCGTGCAGCAAAGCATCATGGGCCGAGATGGGAGTGCCTGTGAACAACATCTCCATGGCGACCTGGTAAAAAGGAGGAGGGAAGCGTGTCCATCTGTCAGGGGGTTTTCATTTTAACATCACAACATTTCATACAAGTATCACCTATGTTTGGTTATTACTGGGCAACATATTTGACAACTTTATGAACAAACTCATCAGAGTGAAACCGTCACGTCACATATTTAAATACAGTTTCAGTACGTATCACAGGTGTCCTCTGGTCTCACCTTCCTCGGCACCGCCCGGCCGATGGCCACCGCCGGCGTCGAGCAGAACAAACCCACGTTGACACCCGGGGTGGCGAATGTGGACTTCTCCGTCGCCACGGCAATGTCACAACTGGCAACCAGCTGGCAACCTGCCGCCGTGGCAACGCCGTTGACCATAGCGATGACAGGAACAGGTATGTCCTGTACGAGAGTCATCACCTGAAGCACGAGAGTCATTTATTCTGTGAGCATCGTGACGTGTGTCAGATTCAGTTTGTTCAAACAGATAAATCAGAATAAAGAAAAACTGTCAACTTTCAGATTAATTTTTTTTTACTTCCTAAACCTTGAAACCTGCCTTTCCAAAATAAAAAATGTATGTATTAAAATGCATTTTAAGTTCTGGATTATGTTTTAGTAATAATGCAGTGAAACACTTTTCTTGGTTACAGCTTCTGAAATGTGAGAATCTAATTTTAAACTCATTTGGCTTTTTGACGGCTGATCAGACAAAATAAACAGTTTAAAGACATTTTAATCGATGCATTCATTAATATAAATCTCACAATTAGACAATAAATAGCACGATTCAGGTATGGACTCAGCTGACCTCTGCACAGGTGAGGAACACCTTGGTGTGATAGTCGCGGCCCTGAGCTGACGTCAGCTCCTTCAGGTCGTGTCCGGAGGAGAACACCGGACCTTTGGCTGGAACAAACACATCACAAGGTTAGAACAGCAGCTTTTTTTTTTGTTGTTTTTACGACATAACACAAGAATGCTGGATAGATCGCCACCTGATATGATGATGACTCTGAGCTCGTCGCTGTTGGCGTCAGTCAGGATGTTCTCTCTGAGCGACTCCAGCATGGACAGAGACAGAGCGTTCCTCTTCCTCGGGTTGTTCAGTATTATTCTCCTGAAAGAGAAGAAGATTGTTCAAACAAATGTGAGCACAGTTTTCACTGCAGCTTGTTACATGAACTCTCTATTAAACCGGTCATACAGAGATCTGACCTCCTATCAGAGCTTTATCGTCTGTCATGCAGCCAAAATTAACCAAATGTTTCTGCTTTTCTGTATAAAGAACCGTGACTCTGTAATTTCAACATGAACCACACTAACCACAGAAAAGGAGAAGATAAAATAAAAAGCAAAAGCATGATGGGATAAAGTCACAACAGACATAGAAATGCAAAATACAACATCAGTGTTACACAAAATGTTGTAAATAATATACATGATACAATATGAATAATAAAGATAATATACAATATTTTTTGTTGTTCATTTGCCCAGTGAGGGATCATTAAAGTTTATCTAATCTTGTATTAATCAGGTCTGTGTTTATTATGCAGCACATTTAAAGTTGATCCAAACAGCATCGTCACCAATTAAACTCTTAACTTCCTGCATTCTGGTGACATTTTTTGCATCAATTTGTGCCTTAAAAGCATCAGTTTATGGTGGCAATGTCTTCATTTGTGTAAAAGAACACACAAAATGAAGACAAAGCAGTTTTTTTGTGGTTTTTTTGGCTGGCACAAATGCACATTTAAATTAGAACGAAAGCATAAGGTGGTGTCACCACAAGAAATGACTTTAATAATGTACCTCAAAATTAGTAAAGTACTTTCCACAGCTGCATGTTGTCTACCTACACATTAAATACTCAACAGTATATCTAGTTTTCTTCATGCATGTTTTGTCTGCTGTTGTGATGCATGTTTTTTTTTTCCTTAGAGAGACGAAACTTTTTCTCCATTGACTCATTTCAACGTGGAACAGCTGATTCCAGTTTTGACATTTTATTATATAAATGTGCATTTCATGTTAATACTACATGTGCCGAATTTATCTTTAGACCCTAACAGATGCATTGAGGTACAGTATGTGCTGCTGTAACACTCCGCCGTAGTTTAAATCCGGATTTTCTCCAGAATTACGCATTTTTGCAATGAGGTTCCGGGGAGCGACGGTTCAACACACTGCACCTTATTCCGTCGTGTTGCTGTTTCACCGTCAGCGGCTCCGGTTCGGTTTGAGAGTAACACCGAGCACCGGACAGCAGCGTCGTTGTTCTCCTGCTGAGCTGGAACAAACCGACACCTCTGGACAGAAAACTAACAGCCATGTTCTCCGCTTTAACTCAATTCACCTTCTCACGCTCGCTTCCGGGTGTGATGACGTCCGCGGCACGTCGTAAACGTCATGACGTAACCAGGAAACACGCAACAAAAATAAAAGCAAGTAAATAAAGCCATAGATATATATATAATAAAGGCCTTTGTTATACATATCTATGAATAAATCACGAAATGAAATATAAAAAATAGAAATAAATAAACCACAAGATTCATTATTATTATTATTACTCTTGTAATTACTTGTTTATTTAGTATTTTCATGCAATTCTATGTAGTTTATTTGTCTATTTATTGTCGTTGCCGATCGATGGGCAACTACAGAGTAATCACTGTGTAGTCGTAGACGGTTTAATGTTATCATTTGAATTTTTTTTCAGTTTTTATCATTTTGATTGAGTTCTCTAAATCAGATCATCCTGCTTATGCTCGACTTGAAGGCTTGTTTTTGCTGTTATTTCTTATTGAGGACATGCAGCAGCTGTATTTCAGAGTTTACAGCAGTTTTAAATTAAGAAAAGTAAAAAAAAAAACAATCCTTCTGATTTTCAATCTTTATTAGCTTTAAACATTGGAAATAATCTCAGCATATGACAGAGTAACGATACATTTATTCTGATTCTAACAGAGTCACACATTTTTATGTCCTCAACTGAATAAAGTCTGTAAAATAAACGCATATTTACTTTACGCTTGAAGTGGTGAACACAGAAATACATTCAAACATACATTTAAACAGGTGCAGGTATTACAGTAACTAAAAACCTTCTTGAATACGTTCAACTTTGGAATAAAAGGCCGAATTTGTTAACAGAAAAAGTTCAGTAATCCACAGTCGTCCCCTGAAGTTATCTCAGATTGTTTTGGAATTTTAGTCCAAAACAATCTGAGTTTGTTTAATTCTAAGAGACTGACAGACTCACAGCATGATTCCTTCAAACAAACAAAAAAAAATTCTCAGGTGAGTTTGAACCCTGAAATACCTGCTGGGAAGTCCAGTAACATCCCTGTTTTATTTTTTTTGCATGTGTATATTTTTATAAGAGATGAGTAAAGTGCATATACAAAAACTAGATGCTTAAAAGCTAAATCGATATCGATATGTATATGTGTAGAAGCTTTAAAGTACTTTTAGCTGATTGTTTTGGTTTTAGCATAATTTAAGGCAACACGTGTAGCACATCGCTACTAAATGAAAATACACTTTTATCAAGAGGTAGAAAGAGTGACAGAGGTACAGTAAGAATGAATAATATGAATAAAACAGAATAACATTCAACAGGTTCACATAAATGACTCCAAATGAATAGTTGTACAAGATAAACATACAGTGTTGACTTCACAGCTGCTTTCTGATGCCCAAGTAGTCAAAAAATAAAAAATAAAATAAAAAAATAAAAATATATGGCATCAACATAGACTCCAGCCCCCCTGCGACCCTAATGAGGATTAAGCAGTGTATAGATAATGGATGGATGGATGTTACACAGAATTACATTTATTTTTATAATGTATTCATGTTTTTAGATTATATTCAAATTTAGACTTATTACTGTACATATTTCAAACATAGTGTAACCATACATGCTGCTGCTCATCTCACACTTTATGTATTAATGTGCAATTTCTCTTAATGTGTTATTTACTGATGTGCAATACCATGTTTCGTGCTGCTAAATATTAAACTCTGCACTCTGGTGCAACTTTACGTTACCTAAATATATCGCTGGATTTTTTTAACATTCTGCGTTTCTGAGTTTTATTATTTGCACTTCGCTGTATGCAGAGCTCGCAGCGCCTCACACTAACCACACCGGCCTACCGCCAGCTGTGTTGAAATAAGTGAGTCGCTTTAAAGGAAGTGGACACTTTAGCCAAAGCATTTTATATGAATAATCAGTTTAAAATACTTAGAGCAGGACTTCCTTGAAAACTGAGTGACTGTGCAAGACAGCGACTCGTCTGAGAGGTCAGCAGGAAGCTACGACTCCCTCCTGACGAACTGTGTGACACTTTCGAAACCCATTTTCACTTTGATACCAGAGACACAAGTCTAGTCAAAAAAGCCAAATCAAGCTGACAATGATTCAACACTGAAACATCTTAGAAGCACTGTGCAACGACAATAAAGGCTTTCTGATGTTCTTTCTCTGGTTTTTACGGTTCTGCTGTTACAGAAACCTTCAGCGCTGTGATCTTAATCGGGACGGGACTCCAGGTGCTGAAATACGGAAACAGCTTTTCGGCGAAAGCGTGGTTGAAGGTGTGAATGTGTTCATTCGTGTCCGAGTCAAAGAACGAAAGCCGCCCCTCGTCCCAGTCCAGCTGCACTCGGATCCTCTCCGGGTTCTTCGCCACCTTCACGTCCGACCCCGTGTCGAGCGGCGACAGAGTTTTATATTCTCCTCCGCAGAACATCAGCCTCCACAGTCCGGGCCAGATGATCCCCTTCCTCTGGTTGGAGTCGGTTAAAACGCCCAGAACGAAGGCTGAGTTGTCTCCCACCTGCACCTCCCAGCTGTGGGAGCCCGAGTCGAAGCCCTCGGAGCCGACGACCGAGACGAAGTGGTCGATCCTCTCCGGGTTGTCGGGAAGCTCCTGCTGCTCCTTCACCTGCCTCAGACCAGTGAGATCTCCAGTCAGGACGAGGTCTGGGTGAGCGGTGTTTGGGTCCAGAATCACAGGACTGTAGGAGACCATGGCCTTCATCTTGTCCCACACGTTGAAGCTCAGGTTGCCCAGATGTTTGGCCTCGTCGATCAGAGCTCCAGACGGCAGCTGTGGATCATCGGGCAGATGCTGCTGCTGGACTGTCTCGGCTGAGGCCTCGTAGCTCTGCAGGAAGGAAACATCTCCAGCTGTCAGCTGCTTCTTTGTGGCTCTGACAGTTTCCGAAAGAGCCGACATGTCTTTACTCAAAGCCTCGATCTGCTCCTTCATCACCCGACTCTTCTGCTCCTCCTCCTCCCTCAGAGCAGCCAGCCTGGCCTCCTCTTCCTCCTCCAGGAAGCGGTGAAGCCTCCTGAACTCCTCCTTGATTCTCTTGACGGTGCTTTCCGTCTGACCTTTAATGTGCTCTGCCGTTTGACCACAGCTCCCCGTCACCTGGTGGATGAGCCTCAGCTTCATCTGCAGAGGCTTTAAGGAGGCCTTGAGTGTCTCCTTGAGCTCCTGAGCTGCTTCGTCGGTCGGTTTGAGCGCGTGGTCGTGGTGGGTTTCTCTACAGACGCTGCATAAAAGCTGCTGGTCGTCCACGCAGAAGAAGCGGAGTTCCTCAGAGTGCAGATCACAGATCGGGTCGGACTTGGCGCTCTCTTGGCTCTTCTCTGATGCAAAGTGGACGTCAGGCATCTCTTTGGAAGACCTTCTCTTGCAGACTGGACAGATCGGCTCATGTTTTTCTGCCCAGTAGCTGCGTAAACAGTCTCTACAGAAGCTGTGGTTACACGACAGCACGGCTGGATCTTTAGAAACGTTCTGGCAGATGGGACAAGAGAGATTTCCCTCTGACTTAGAAGCCATATTATCTGCGCAGAGTTACTTTCACTTTTGCAGCCTCGCGTTTCCTGCCCACTAACAGCAGCAGATACAGAACATTACCGGCACCAGAAGTGTTCTCAGTGCTCCCAGTGTTCCCAGTGCCGCTGTCGTCGTCCTTCTTCAGTGGAAACGTCTGGAATTTGGAAGTTCAAACACTCGGCGTGCGTCTCCTCTGCTCTGTGAGGCAGAACAACAAACCTTCTTCCTGTTTTCAGTGACGTCGGGGGCGGAGCTTGATCACAGCTGTTCTCTTGTTGCACAGCTTCTGAAAGTGACCGAGCAGCTTCATGTGATGTTTATCTGACACACAGTGAACAACCTGAGAGTTCTGC